ATTTCTATATGGATGTATGTGTGTAGATATTCTTATACCGGATCTCAGCTCTTCTATCTTTTCTACATTCTTACATGGCACAGAGGCGTGTATGTGTGTGTCTGTATGCACAGAGCTGTATTTTACACATATGTATGTCTATATGGATGTATGCGTGTAGATATTCTTATACCGGATCTTAGCTCTTCTAAGTTCTCTATATTCTTACATGACAGAGAGGTGTGTATATGGGTGCATGTATGCATAGAGTTGTATTTTACACATATGTGTTTCTATATGGATGTATATGTGTGGATAGTCTTATACCGGATCTCATGTCTTCTACCTTCTCTATATTCTTTTTGTTTTGTTTTGTTTTTGGCTAGGTAGTGGGGTTAAGTGACTTGCCCAGGGTCACACAGCTAGTAAGTGTCAAGTGTCTAAGGCCAGATTTGAGCTCAGGTCCTCCTGACTCCAGGGCCCTGCTACATGTTCTTATATAACACAGAGGTGTGTATATGTATGTATGTAAATATGCGTACATTTGTATTTTACACACACACACACACACACACACACACACACACAATTTGTGTGCATATATATACATACGTATTTTTTTCTTATCCCTTATCTTACTCTTTTCCCCAATCCTTGTAACAAAGGGCAGCCAGAGACATACAAGGCAGCATGGTGCCCACTGTCCATCAGTCACCACAGCAACGTTCCTCAGCCCTATCCTGTCCCTTCCCGTTCTCTTCCACTACAGACTCTGGAACGGGTGAGCAGTGACCTGACAGTGGCCTGCCTGTCCCTGGGGGTCCTGCCTCTATGTGTTCCCTATCAAAGAGCCGTAATCATGTCCCTGGCTTTCTGGAAAGCCTTTGGTGACCCGCCAGTACCACCCCAATAAATGTCTGCTCTGCGGCCAGGCGATGGAGCTGCTCTTACATTGGCTATGGGGGACTGACCATCCTTGCCTTATCTGGCTGCATGACTTTGTCATGTCCCCCCGTGCTCCGGGTTACTTTCTTCTCTTAGCTTGTCTCCCATCTCTGGGCCTTTGCTCCCGGTGGGCACCAGGCTCCACCATCTCCACTGCTGAACTGTACCTCCATGAAGATTCGTCTGCCTCTCCCAGCTCTCTCTGGGATCACTCTCTCCTCGAACGTCCCATAGCCCTCTGGTGAGGGCTCCTGAGTGGCTCACCATAGATTTTTCCTATGCTTCTTGAGAGAAGGGATTATTTCCTTTTGTACTGGTGTCCTAATGCCCAGCACTGTGCTTGGTACACAGTAGGCACTTAATAAATGCTTGCTGACTTGTGCTTAATGTATTCTAACTAGCAGCAACATTCCTGGAGCAAACAGCTTCTCTCCTCTTCTAGACTTTAAGTTCCTTGAGGGCAGGGACACCCACACAAGGGCTTCTGCAGAACTGGCGCTAAAGTATGCTGGCTGAATTGAATGTTGAGCTATCCAGGTCATGTGAACAAACAGGCCCCCCTCAGCTCTCCTCCTGACCCCACTTGGGTGGCCAGACGCAGGGGTCAAGAAGAGTCCCGATCTGGTCAGGGTTCGGGAAATCTCTTCTGGGAAAAGGCTGGGTTTTGGTTTATGTGACCTGAATCTGCTTTAGCAATACCCGGCATTTCCCCCAGGTGTAGAGAACATGTATATTTGTTGAACTGTGTGTCGGTTATGGAAAAATAAGGAAGCAGTCGGGGTATGCTGGTAAATGTTTCACAACCAGTTCGGGGGGTATACCCATGACCCAGTTTTAAGTTTGATCAGTTATTCATATTCTCTCCATCACTTTCTTAAGTCCAGACAATCAACAAAGCAATAAATCAAGCCCCAATCTGTTGCGTTTGCCAATTTCCAAGGTGTAAATATCCACTGTGACAATTTATTATTTTTTGTTATTTATTACATTTTCTTTTTTTAGTGAGGCAGTCGGTTTTAAGGGACTTGCCCAAGGTCACACAGCTGCCATTGTGACAATTTAACAATCAGCTCTTGAACCCAGCACAATCCTGGTTCAGCCGGTGGTTCAGGGTTGGGAGATCTGAGTTCAGATCTGAAAGCAGACACTAGCTGGGCGACCCTGGACAAGTCTGGCCTGTCTGAGTTTTCGCATCCGTAAAATGGAGGTACTAACACCACCCAACTCTCAGGGTTATTGTGAGGATCAAATGTGATCATGTTTGCACAGCACTCTGCAGACCTTAAAGGGCACTGAGAATGCTAGCTAGTATTCCTTCCAGGAAGCCAGGTGATCCCGGCATTTGGAGACAACTTGGTTTAGAGGAAAAACAGTTCTGGGAAAAGGCTGAGAGTGGCCAACATGTTCCTCACTCTGGCTCTCATGGGCCTGGCAGGCACTGGGGATGTGCCAGCCCGTCCTGCGCTATGCCACGGGCCCTCCCTGGTCCACCAGGACAGCTGACACTGCTTTCCCATCATCGGGAATCATTCCCTGGGATTTCACCGGCAGATGTGGAGACTCCCTGCACCTGTGCCAGCTGACATCTCACCTGCAAGGGGCAGGCTTGGAGGGCCAAGTGAAATTCGAACCCAGGTCCTTCCTGAGCTTCGGGTTGTCAACAGTGACAATAGCTGACATTTACATGGCGGGTGAAGCCCCTCCTCCCCTGTTCCTCCCACCCACCCCCCCCCCCCCGTTCCTCCCCGAGGTGCCCAGCAGCTGCCCCACCTCTGGGGGCGCCTCCAGCCTCCCTACCCCCTCCCCCGCTCCCACCCAGTTCTGCAGAACCTGTCTCCACAGGCCCCGCCCCGGCCCCGGCCCCGCCCCGGCCCCGCCCCGGCCCCGCCCCGGCTCACTTGAACACGTCGGGGTCGATGGCTCCGCCGGCCGCCAGGGCCAGCTCGTAGAGCTCCGTCTCCTCGGCGTTGAGCACCTTCTTCCGCCGCAGCGCCAGCTTCTGGAGCGCAGCCTCCAGCCCCGGGGTGCCTGGACCCGGCCCGCCCGCCCCAGGGCCTCCCCCGGGCCCGGCCCCGGGGCCTGCCGCCCCCCCGCCCCCCGCCGCAGCCGCCGCAGCCGCCGCCGCCGCCGCCATCCCGGCCCCGCCCGGCCCGGCCCCGGCACCTCCCGCTACGGCCCGGACTGAGCCACGCCCCCAGGCCGAGCCACGCCCCCAGACCGAGCCAACCCGGAGAGACGCCAGGCGGCGTCGGTCCCGCCCCAGGCCGGGCCCCGCCCCCGCGTCTGTCACGCCGAGGCCCCGCCCCCGCGTCGGTCACGCCGAGGCCCCGCCCCCGCGTCAGTCACGCCGAGGCCCCGCCCCCAGCTTTCCCGGGACACGCCGCCTGCCGGGTCCCCCGGTCCAGCGCGTTTTGGTCCCGCTGAGCGCGGGAATGCACCGAGCCGTCTCGTGCAGCTCCGTCCCAGGCCCATCCACATCCATCCGCCAGCGCCGGGGATTCAGGCCAAAGCGGGGCCGGCCCTGTCCTCAGGGAGCCCCGGAATCTGCTCTGTAGCGCCGGCCCGGCTAGGACACTTCCGCGACAGGGAACTCATCACCTCGGCTGCGGCTTGGAGTTTGCTGAGTTGTGTGTCAGTTATGGAAACATAAGGAAGCAGTCAGGGGTGTGCGGGTCGCTGATGTGCCCCCGTTTCCTCTACTGCCCGCTGTAGATCGTAGCAGTAACTTAAAGAGTGTTTGAGTCTGTGAAGTCATGCCAGACGACCCCGTCCTGTACTGCGGTCCTTGGGGGACCTCAGCACCCTGGGGTCCAAGTAGAAGCCCCGCCCCCATCCCTGCCAGCCCTTCCCGCTTACCTGGCTAGCGCTGAGTTTTCCGAGGCCTCCTTCCAGAATCCCCTCCCCTCCCTACCCTGGTTGTCCGTTTCTGGAGCTCCTCCTGCGGGTGAACCCCCTTGCTAAAATGAGAGGGAGACGCTCCAGTTACCCCACGGAATCTGCCCAGGGCAGAGGCAGCAGGATGATTCAGCTCCCCGACTTTGGAGAGGACCTCGGGCTGTCTCATGCCCTGCGGCCTCCCTCACTTTGTAATTTACCTCCCTTTCATAAAGGACTTTTCCCCACAAACTGCTGTCTGGTCCATGCTCACCTTGTGAGGTTGACTTTTTGAGCTCAGGGGTTGGGATTTTTTTCATTGATACCTACTAAGTTTATTTTCTTCCTTCAACAATCTTTCCAGAACCATTTTTTTTTTTTTTTTCAGTCTTGTTCCTCGGACAGGCAGGCGGTTTATTAAGTAGTTACCACATGCCTGGCACCTTGCTAAGTAAGTGCTGGAGGATTCAGATACAAGCAAGAAAAGAAGACAGTCCCTGCCCTCAAGGGGCTTAGATTCTCATGGGGAAAGATGATATAGAAAAAGGGAGCTGAAAAGTCAGAGGCACCTGCTGGGGAAGGCAGCATGGTGGTGAAAGCGAACTGTCAGAAGCATGGTGGGAAGAGAAAGGAATCTGGCTGGCCTGGGCCCAGGTGTAGGGATGGTCCAGGGTGAGAAGAATGCCCCACGTGTCAGCTCTCTCCCTTCCAGCTTCCTATCCCCTACAAATATTATAAATATACGTGGGCCCGGAGTCGGAAAGACCCGAGTTCACATCTGGCTTCAGACACATACTAGCTGTGTGACCCTAGGCAAGTCACTTAATCTGCCTGCCTCAGTTTCCACAATTGTAAAATGGGGATAATAAACCTGGGGTAAAAGATAATATTTGTAAAGCACCTACTAGCCTGGCACATAGTAGGTGCTCAATAAATTTTGTTTCCTTCCTATCTCTACTTTTTATTCAAGTAATTAATCAGTGAAAGTCCCCAGGATCAAGGAGCTTCCAGCCTAGGTAGGGAAAGATAGGTTCCTATACGTATGATGTGCATAGATAATAGAGAAAGTAGATAATAAAGATAATAAAGTAGATCATAGAGAAAGGGGAGGAGGGGAGACACTAATTTTCAGTAGCTCCCACACCCAGTCCCCGGGTTCCCAGGTCCATTCGTCTTTGCCCCCACGGAAAATATTATTTATTTCCTATTTCTTTCTTGAACCTGGGATAAAGGAGAGGTCCGGGTTACGGGGTTATGAGAAATTTGGGAGGGGAGGAAGGAAGCCCCGTGGACGACTTAGGATGTGAATGGGCCTGGAAGGAAGGAGGCTGGCCACACGTCAAGAGATGGCAAGGACACTGCCCAACTGGAGTCAGCGGGTCTGACATTGAGCTTCTGCATCATTTCTCCTGATGCTCGTGCTGCACATCCTTGCTCTTCCAGTGGCATGAAACAAATGCTCTGGAAATCCTAGCGTCTTATATAAATGTCCCATTCGAAAAGAACAGGACTCCCTCCCAGGGAGCCAACGCAGGCATGGGTACGGCTTGAGCAAAGGCACGGAGACCGGAGAGGGCAGGAGGAGAATGAGGGATGGGAGAAAGGCGAAGGGCGAAGGCAAGGGGCCTTGAATGGTCTGTGCTCCCCGCAGCCCCCCCGCCCCTTTATGGTTTCACCGGCTCCTCCCAAGAGCCCTGTGAGGTGGGGGGGGCGGCTCGGTGACGGCTAATTCTAGACAGATGAGGAAATCGAGGCGAGCAGCTTGGCTCGCACCCGGGAAGCGGGTCTGCTCAGCTCCGCGCTCCCCGGCCCGGGATACGAACCCGGCTCAGCTAACACTGCATTCAGAGGCCGCAGCGCGCGAGGGGGGGAGGGGGAAAAAAAAAAAAGCTCCTCTGTGCGCCTGCGCAGTAAGAAACTCTGGCCCTCCCGCTTTCCCCCCCCTGCAAGCGGTGAGCCAATGCGCAAGCGTCAGGTGGGAGGGGGCGGAGGCAGAGCGAGGAGCCCAACGCGGGCTGTAGCGCTGTCTACGCCTGCGCAAACAGTGCCGCTCTCCGCAGGCGCAGACCGCGTGGAGGGCCTTTGGCCTCTTCCCGCCATTCCTGGAGGCGGGGCCTGACGCGCGGATTGATGACGTCATCGACAGCGACCCGGGCTCCTTGGGATGGCGGCTGTGACTGCAGGTGAGCAAGCCGGGAGCCCGCGCCCCTGCCTGAGGGGGAGCCAGGGTCCCCCGTTCTTAGGAGCCACGACTCCCCAACCCCCTTCCCGAGACGGAGAGCCCGCCCCCTCCCCAATTCCTGAGACATGGACCCCCGCCCCCCATCTGAGGGGGGGGTCACAACGCCTTCGTTCCGGGGCGGGGCATGACCCTTGCCCCCTATTGTGAGGTGCCCGAGCCCCCATTCCTGGTGGGCCACGGCGGCGCCCCCAGCTGTGAGGAATCTGACCCCACTCCCCATTCCTTCAGTGTTGGGGGGCCACGACTCCCCCGTGCCCATTTTTGGGGGGACACGAGGTCGTCCATTCCGGGGGGGGCCTGACCCCGGCTCACGATTCCGGGGGGCACAAACGTTACCCCCCGTCCGTAAGGGTGAGGGTGCCCCGTGAACCCTGACAGCCCCCCTCGAATCCCCGTCTCCAGCCCCCCGCACAAAGCATCCCTAGAGGTAACTCCCGGTGCAGGGACCTCCCCTCCCCCCCGCAGTCACGTGGACGCCCCCTCCCATTTCTGGGTGCCCCCCCACCCCCGCTGAATGGCGGGTGCCAGGCTGCAGGCCGGTCTGTGAGTGAGGGCGGGGGGCAGCCCCCCGCTGAGGCCCGCTGCCCCCCTGGACCGAGCTGGCCTGTTGTTATAGGAGGTCTTGGAGATCCCCATGGCCACCCCCGTGACGTCACACACTTGGCTGCCCCTCCCCGTGCCGTGGGTCTTCGTGGCTGGCTGTGGATGTGAACAGGCTTTCTGGCCGTGGTGAGCCTCCCCAGATTGAGCTGGGGGGGCCCTCCGACAGCCAGCGGGAGGTCTGGGGCAGGACCCCTGGATGGAGCCTGCCTGGCGTGGCCTGGCGTGGGACCTGGCGCGGCTTTGAGAACCTAGGGTCACTGGCACACTGAGCTGACCAGCTGTCACTGCCGGAGGAGGTCAGTGGAGGTAGCTGCAAAGGCACTTAGATCTTTTTCATCAGTTGAGTAAATGTTTATTAAGGAAGCTATTTGAAATGCCCAGGCTGGGCCCGGGGGGAGATGCCCAGCTTGTCTTCTTAGACCCGGCACGTGCCCAGATGGAACTGTAGTTTAGAATAGACAGCGAGGGCTTCTTTTAACAAGGTCAGTCAGTGAGAGCTCACAGAGAAGGAGACCATGGGCATGGGATGGGTGAGGGGAGAGGGGTGAGATGTATCGTGGGACCCAGGCCTTGAATGGTGGATGGACGTTGCAGAGGCAGGTTTTGGTAGCAGTCTTCTGCCTCTTAGAGACCCACCTCTAGTCTTGCAGCCGTGAGGAGTGGGTCTGCCTGAAAGCCCCTTGGTGGGATGGGAGAGGGGAAGCTGAAAGGCTGGCCCGCCTTCGCCCACAAGTGTGGCAGATTGTCTTGGTTGTAAAGTGAAACTCAGGTCCCTCCTGTTCTCTTGGTATCCGGCTCTTCTGCCTGATCTTAGACTCCTATTCTTTGAACCCTGTTAATGCTAGTGGTGGCGGCCGATCGTTCAGACATAAAGCCTGCCTTCTGTCTCCTTGCCTTTGCCCGGCTAGACTTATTGGAGCTTCTGGTCCCCTCTGGTTAGGGGCTTCCAACCCCCTAGCTGGGAAAGCTCTGGCCTGTTCGATAGCGGGGGATAAACCTCAGCTTAGCCGGGAGGAGATGGGTACCATTAGTGGAGGCAGCTGAGCCAAGGAGGGGAGCTGGTTTGGGGCCAAGATAATGTGGAGTATTGTTGAGCCGGGACGAAGCTTCTTTTTCCCATACTTGTATTTCGTTCTGAGAAGCCAGCCTGTCTTTCAAAGGGGCTCCTGTCAGACTCTTGTAGAACGTAGCTTTGTGGTCCCTGGTTATGTAATGCCCTTTTCTCAATGCTCTTCCTTGATCTCTTGGTATTACCCCCCTCTCTGAGACCCTCCCTCCTCCCGCTGAGTGCTTTTTGGCCTCCTCTCTGATCCTACCTGTCTCACTGCTCTTACCTCCTCTTGGCTCCATGTGCCTCTTGGGCATTTGCATCTCCATTAATGTCCTGAAGGCATCTCAGACTCATCACAGCCTTTCCCCCTAAACTTTGCTCTCTGTCCGGTTAACTGCTGCCCTTCCAGTCCCTCAGGCTGGCCCTGATGAAGAGAAGGACCCCTTCTTTATCGGCGTAAAGCAGGGAATTGTGGAGTGGGGTGAGTTAGGGGAATATTACCGGAGAGGGAGAGAGGAGCTTGTGGCAGATAGCCTCCATTCTTCCAGATAAAGGAGGAGGCAAAGCCTTGGCAGCCTGCATGTTGGCGTTGACTCCTTCCTCCCCCCATGCTATGGTGGCGCCTAAAGCTGGGTTTTCAGAGAAACCGCTCTGCCATCTGGCAGTCAGTCAGTCAGTACTCGTTTGTTAAGTGCCTACTATGTGTCAGACTCTGCTAGCCCCGGAAGCTGCAAAGACAGAAGGGAAAGGACCGACGGTGGGCCGTGGGTGGGGCCGCATTGGAGGCGGTGCCAGCCTGGGTTCAGATGCAGCCTCAGACACTGTCCGCCGCATCACCCCATCTGTAAGGTGGGGGTGATAACAGCACCTTCCTCCTGAGGTGGTCATGAGGATCCAGTGCAGCCCCATTTGCTCCACCTTGCTAGCCGCTGTTCTTATGTTCTGACCCTGGTGCCTCTCTTGATTTTCCATAGTGTTTTCCTAAGACGACAGAATTTTTAGAGTCTCCCCGGGACGTTGTTATGGCTCTTCCGCACGTGCAGCCCCCGAGCTTCTTGCTGGTAAGCGTACAGCCCTGGAGGGAAGGGCTTGGAGGGGGCAGTAGTCCTCTGCCCAAAGTCTTGGTGATGTGACTTCCCAGCAGCCAGGACCGCAGTGCTGGAGCTGTGGGCCTACCCTCAGCCTCAGTTTCTTCATTTTCAAAGTGGGCTCCTGTCGTCTGGAGCGTCTCCCTTCCTCGCAGGGTTTCTGTAGTGTTCAGGAGAGCCGACGGATAGAATTTGTACAAACCTGCCAGTACCGCACCCCATGAGGACAGTAGTGTGAGATCAGGCTTTAGGGTTGGGAATGGCTTTAAAGGATCTAGTCAGACCTCACTAAAGCCTGAGACACAGAGGCCACATGGGCAGTGAGTGGAGGAGACAGGATCCAAACCCAGCTCCTTGAGCCTAGGCCTGCTTCACCTTCCACTGCACTATGCCGTCCGATGCAGTCGGGCGCTCCAAAGTAGGCCAATTCCCCATTGTTCACTTCCTCTGGTTTTCTGTTATCCGGGGACTTACTGGAAGAGCGCACGGTGTCGGGGATCAGCTGACTTGGGTTTGAGTCTTGGCCTTGGCACCTATTAGCTATGTAATCTGGACCCTCAGTTTCCTCCTCCATAAAATGGGAATGGTGGTCCTTGCCCTGTCTCTTCCTAGGGCTGGGGAGAAAATCAGCTGCGGTGTTGGGTTTAAATTGATATGTAGTCCCCAAGCACTCCAAGCCTCCAAGTTTGGGCAAGTGAGAGGGCCGCAGAGGTTAAGTCTAAGTCTGTCTCTTGAGATGAAGAAAGGGGAACCCAGAGAGGGGAAGCACCTGGCCTGAGAGGTGGGTCACCCAAGTGTGATTGTGAGGAGCCAGCCTCATCTTTCAGTTTTCAAGGAAGAGGATGCTTTGATTCCTCCTCGTGACACAGAGGTGGCCCCAGGGTCTTGAAGGTTACCCCTGTGGGTGACAGGTTCTGCCAGGCCCAGGGACCCATTGGCTGTTTGCTGTCTGAGCATCTGCCCAGCAAGGTTGTGAGGCTTCCACCCAGGCTGACTGCACCAAAACAAATGTTCCCTTTCAAGGCCTCTCCTCCAGGGAGTGGGGTAGGAGCCCCAGTACTAGGCCCAGCTTGACCCTTTGGTGTCCTTCACCAGCCCTTCCCTGGACATTTCAAAGGACTGAGAAACCAAAGCTTTTGGGTGGCCCTAAAGGGTAGCCAGTCAGACCACCCCTGCTTCTGCCCTCCTGGGCTGGGACCTGCTTCGTTCTTGTTCCCATTGATCAAATCCCGCAGCAGAGGAGCAGAAGCGCCATCTCAACACCATCTCTGGTTTTGAACCCAAGGCAGTGTTTGAGTTCAGAGGAGGAAACAGGCTCACACAGGTGGATGCTGCCGGCCGGGAGGACTTAGCCAGGCTTTCTGACTTTGCGTGAGCCTAGCACTCTTTCCACAACATGCCACGTTCCCTCTCTGTGAGTGCTTCGAAGTTCTAGGGTGTCTCTTCCCTCCACTGTTGGGGGTGGAACCCCCTCCAGGGGGATGGATGGTCCTTAGCAGGTGGTCTTTTTGAGTTGCCATGGCAAAAAGAAAAGATCCTTGCCTATTTGGGGCTGGGCCTGTTTTCATTTAGGAGGGCTTCCAGCCCCCTCGTTTTGTGGAGGAGGAAACAGAAAAGTTAAGTGAGCTGTCCAGGGGCCCACAGGTAGTCACTGTTAGAGGCAGGATATGAACACAGGTCTTCCTGACCTCAGGGCCTGCACGCTGCCTCCTGCCCTGTGTTGTTGCTCCATAAAGACAGCCTAGACAGCAGAGTCAAGGCTGGTCTGCGGCTCACACACCCTTGCCTGTGCCCTGCTGAGGCCTTGGGGGGCAGGACGGGGAGCACAGGTGGTATTGGGGTGAAGGGGTGAGGGCCCTGTCTGGAGCTGGAGGGCCGCCGGGCCCCAGGACCCATGTCCTGCCCACCAAAGGCACTCGGAGGCACCTTCCAGGCCGCTCTCGGCCATTCTGAGACTTTGGGTCCAGCAGAAG